ATCTGTCACCAGCAGGCCCAGCGCCTTGTAAACCTCCCCGTGATCAAAAAAGCCAAAATTCCTCCGATGGCACCAGCCCCTGAGCCACGTGTTGATCAGAATATTTTTTGTGAATGGGAATTTTTTTAAATTATATTTTTTAACGTTTTACATTTTTTTACACTGATATGCTTGCAGCAGGTAAGCAGATTCAAGGAACTGTGGCTTTCACATAGCTGAAATTTTAAGGAGACAGAATGAATGTATATGATGATTCTGTAGAGGTGTTTATCTTATCCCTAGCTATGCTGAAAGGAACCTGTACCTAAGCAGCAGGCTAAAGAAGGGCAGTCATCCAGTGTCATCAGACTCTGAAACAGACAAAGATGGATGTTTTGGTGACACAGAAATCTCTTTGAGAAATATCTGTGTACCATAAAATCTATTTGTGGAACTGAGGATTGAATTTTCTTCCATATGAAATAATTACTTTCTCCTGGAACCTCCAGATTTGTCACAATTGTGGCAACACTCAGACAGCAATGTTAGGTTCCTGGAAAAACATAGACACAGTGAAGATACTTCATATTCAAAACTGTCATCCCAAAATCCTGCACTTCTGGGACCACAAGATCCACACACATTTAGCAATTAAGTTATGGACTGTAAAGTTCTCTATATGCCTAAACATAGGTTTCTACAAAGATAAGATCTGTACAAGGTGTTGAGTGCGCACTTTCATATGCCATAAAGACCCTCCACAGTTTCAGGAGGGGTATTCAGGACCCGAGTTAAAGGCCTAACTTCCCTCTATATTGAATAGTAAAAGCTCAACATTAAGAATGGAATCCTCAATACCGAGCAAGTTGAAGAGAAATGCCTGGGGAAAAAAAAAAAAGAAAAAAAAAAAGAAAATAATAAGCCACCTTCTTTTCTGTATTTTTGCATTGCATTCTGAATCATCTACCTAAATTTAGGTTCTTAAATTAGAAGCCTCATTACTCAAAATTCCTTCTGTGAACCACAGGCATTTCTGGGGGAAGTGGTAGCTAAATTAAGATGTATCCGATACTGAATTCAGAAGGAGAAGCCCTATCGTATAAAAGAGAGATGACACCTACACTGTCTGTCTTTTGAAAGGGGAAGAAGTTAATTCATCACAATTAAATTTCAACCTCCATTTTCTGGTTCATGTCTTAACTGCTAAACAGCTTAGCTTTTCCCTATTACTGAGTTCTAGCTGTATTTTCTGTGCCTCAGAATCAAGACAAATAATTTACTGAATGGAGTGATTCTGTTTCTTTGAATTACCTTACTGGAACCAAGAATTTAATTAGTAAATTCTAAGATGCCCAAAGTATGTTGCTGTTCTGAGTATCACTTTTGATGAAATTCCTGAACAGTGGCTGGAAGTTCTTTGCTTCTACTTAATGTGATATGAAAAGATGCAGATAAAAATATCAACCTAATTGATAATGGAGATCTAACATGTGTGCTGTGCTGCATGACTACAGACTGCCAACATTACTCAGTTCCCAGAGAAATTTCTTCAATTACAAGGGGTTTTGTGCAAATATTTACTGTGATATTTTTAGTAAAGAGTTTTTGAAATTTTTATATGATCCTGATGTTTTTGAGGGTTTTTTTTCTCTATTGTTGAAGGAAAAAGATAATTAGGTATCTTCTAGTTGTACTTGGTTTGATTTGAGATAAAGGCCTTGTGTTCAAAAGCATTAAAATGAAGTGGGCTTTTTTGTATATGCCTAGTGCCAGAAACATACAGTATGTTTTAATTTTGTATTTGCTTTAATATCTTTATTGTAAGGCAGCATATACTAAGGCTTGTTTAATGCCTCAGACTTCTTGAAGCAGACAACCTGAATCAAATATCACTAAACATGGTTCCTGTTTAAACAGTTTTGTTCTCTTCTCTTTGCATCTTCATGCACCTAAAATCCTTCTAACCTGTGCTCAGCACCATCTAACATGTCTGACCCTTCTTAATTCATCTCCCTCACTTTCATCCTTTTGGAATCTGTTTCCTCTCCTTTTCCAAGAAATCTCACTGCCTGACAGTCATCAACCCATGTCTTCATTCCCCTAAGACCCTGCTGCAAAATCAATTCTGTCTGCACTGCTCAGAACCCCTTGAGACTTTGAAGCTAAAAGCTGAAGAAAAGCAGTATACCAGCTGTTGAGTCTGAATGGATGAGGTGTGACTATGAAAGTCTCCTTACCCTACAGTTCAGCACCAAAGTATATATATACACCATAACACACGCTTTACCTAAATACAAAGAATGCATAATTCCTATATGTCAAACCTATATTTCCAACAACCTGTTCTCTGGTTAGAGATTCTTAAGCATATTTTAGGGAATCTGGGTTGCCGTTCCATGCCCGTTTGGGGTGGAGTGGGGAGGAATGTATGCAAAATAAAGCAAATTATAGCATTTTAAGCTCTGCTCACTTTTCCAGAACTAGGCTTCTATAACATAATTTCTTTTCTGTAATAACAGGGTGGTGTCATATTCAACATGCATCTGAAACCTCTGTGCGGAAAATCATATAGTTTGGACTAATAGTTTTCCTGAAATGCATAGTTATGAAAGTCCAAAAGCTGTATGGTCAGTCTTGCACTGTATGATGCCTAAAATTAGTGCACTTCAACAAGAATTACAGAAAGGACTCTTATTTTGTCTACCAGAATTTATCTCAGGAAATACAAAATTGCTCATCATACCGTTGCACACAATATTTTCATTTTGAAATTCCCCCCTAATTTTCCCCCATCCATCCTCCATCAACTTAGCATATCTCTTCTCTCACCTGATAATTTTGGTTGGCTACCTTCTTGTGACAATAAATGAAAGGAATTAATATGTTTCACTGCTAATTTGTAGCTGGTGTTTACACAAAGCTGTAACAAAATGGTTTTCAGTTGTGCAGGAAATAATTTAACCCAATGTCTAAATATTACTTTTGTTCCAGTTCTGATAGTATTTGTGACATCAGAATTACTTTTTTTTTCTTTTAGATTTGACCAATAATGTGAAAATAGACTTCTGACTCTTTGCAAAAAGCTCAGTAAAATCTGTTTTCTATATACACAATGGTTTTGCAAAATGTAGTTATAGTGTACCAAATGTGTTTAAAAGTATGGCTTTTACATGGTCTAAGAAGAATGCAAGAAGCATCTAATTTTTTTTAAAAAACAAATGTCTTTTTTATAGCCCTCTGTGGAGGAAATATAACTGCAATGAATGGCACCATATACTCTCCAGGATACCCTGATGAGTATCCAAACTTTCAAGACTGCTTCTGGCTTGTAAGAGTACCACCTGGGAATGGAATCTACATCAATTTCACAGTTCTCCAAACAGAGCCAATATATGATTTCATAACTGTCTGGTAAGAAAACAATTTTGGCATTTATTTAATCTTCACGTGACACTATGCAACGAAGTATGAATTAAAAAGAGTGTATTTGTGATTTCTCCCTTAACACTGGTGTTCTGTCTAGGGGAAATGAGTGATTTGCACTAATCCATGTTTTCCAGTGTACCATTCTCTCTAGATAGCACTGGACATGAAGTTTCATAGTCCTTGTCTTAATAATTAAAAACCAATAATATTGTGCCTCAGTTTCTCAATAAAGAAAAGCGTTCAGAAGTGTGCTATGACAGCTTATCAACAACCAAGAGAAATAATACTTAAGAGAAGAATGATAATAAGCAATTGCTGCTGCGTGTATTACAAAGTTTTAGAGTGTTAATACAAGGAACTACAGCAACACTTTCTTCATTTCTTCCAAGTCAGCTTCTTTTAAACTGTTAAGAGTACATAAAAGGAGAGGCTCTATTTGTATTTGGCTATGACAAAAAGAGTTGAGCTAATGATAACTGTAAACAAATTATATTCTCTGTATACCTGAATCCATGTCTATCATGAATCTTTTCAGATAATGAAGCCCCCATTTTTCTTAGTTGTAAGTTAGTAAAGGCAGGAGGCTGTAACCAAGTGTAACAACTCCTGTAGTAATTTTGAAACTGTTACCAGTGAGTTTCCTAGACATTTCAACAGTGGCTAAGACCTTTTGGAAGCTTACCTAAAACGATACACTGATTATTGAATCTGCAGATTGAAAATCCGCAGGTTGAGAGAGTAGTCTTCTAGTCTGAGTGGTGTAAACTAATGAGAGGCAATTTGGAATATTAACTATTCATTTTATGTTTCTGTTGCACAGAAACCTAATTCATGTAAATTCATATAACGCAGGATTTCATTCCTACTTTCCTAAACATTGAACGGTTTATACTCTATACACTTTTGTGATCATTTCTGTAGGTCCTGGGTTTTTTTCATCTTGTGTACTACAAACTGTCTTGTCCTGCATCCCAGATACTCGATTGCTTTGCCTTAAAGTCTAGCCAAAATTTGATCAGAATATGTACCCAGACTATTGCTTTGACAAAAATCAGATAATTTTGAATCCCTTTAACTCTTCACCACTTGTTTTGTATATCAAATTTAGGCTGACCTTCAGAATCTTTCCTGAATTAAATTATACTTTTGTGTGCATACAGACATCTTTTCTCTATTTCATCCCACACAAACTAGAACACTACTATCCACTTCTAGTGCTTCCATTCAGCTCTTCCTTTCTACCAAGTGATTTCATGTGCTTTCAGTTGTAGTCCTGGCTGTGTTACAAACTTAGTTCTTACAGTAAAAGTAATTGTATATACCATGACAAAGGTAAAACCTCAGTTTTATTTCATTATGTGTTTTTTGCTGATTTTTTTTTAGATTAACAACACTTTTAGGACAATGTTCTGAAATCAAAGCATCTATCATGCTGTTCATGTATATATCATGCGTGTTGTTACTTATGTATGATTTATATACCTGTATAAGCTGATATATATACCTGATGGCTATATAATTAAATAGCTTATGCCACTTCTGGGATATTATTTATTTACCGAACTAATCAGAAATTTTTATAGCCATTTCCAATGGAAAAAAATCATTTTATTCACAATTCAAATGTTTCTTCAAATCATACTATTACCCTGATAAAACAGAAGGGGAAGGGGCAATGCACGAGAATTTGGACAAATGTATTACCTGCAAAATTTAAAAAAAAAAATCTATGATTTTATTTAGAAATTATTTTCAGTTAAAATATGCCAACAACAATTAGAAAATTTAAACTTTTAAAGTTCATCAATTCTGATCTAGAAGGAAGTGGGTACAAAAATTTAATTCCCTTGCATCATGATTTTGTCCTCTGTACTGTTCCACTATTGTTTAGTACTAACTTTGATTTAATTTTTCTATTGAAATGAGTATTTCATTCTTCCATAAGGTAGAAGGGATCTACCAGCAGTAGATGTATTGTCTAATACTAAATAGTACAAAATATCGATCAATGTATGTGAACAAGGATTTAAGAAATTAGTCAACTGTGTCATAGTTTCTTGCTCTCTCAGCAAGAAATTGGTTCAGAAAACTCTAAACTAGTCATAAAAACAAACTTCAAATTAATTCTTATGTGTCCATATGTACTATAAATTATAAATGATAGCATTATAGCCTTTAATTGTGGAGGGCAAAAAGTTAGGTTAAAAAATTCCGACATTAGAGAATTTCTAAAAGTAGCATCCTTAAAATAATCATTATAAATAAAATCTGCATTTATAAATGCCCACATTCAGATTTCAAGTGGAATCTTGTATTCAGTAGAGTATAAGCATTTTGGGTTTATTTTTAGTGAAGCCAATATTCACTCATTGTCTTTTAAAAATTAAATAGTTTTCATCTCTTAATTTTCCTAGAAAAGACCAAATTCAAAACACTGGGGGAGATAAGCAGTTTTAGGTTTATTTATTTTCTGATAGCCACATTTGAAAGCATAGATAAGTAAATGTGAACAGAGTTTGTGGCAAATACGATCACAAATTCAATCATTTTGAGCTTCCTGCAATTTTTATTTAAAAATAAGAATATTGCTTCCAAAAGGTGGTTGAATGGAGCATCTTGCTTTCCAATAAATTTTGATGGTCCTCTAAGCTACTACCTGCTTTACTCCAATCCACATAGAGAATTTCAAAACTCTTTCAGCCCTTAATGTCTGTTTTATCTAATTTTAGATGACTCATGCCTTTTAGAGTAATCTAGAGAAATTTTACTACATTATATTAAAATTTGGAGACATTAAATTATTTGTTTGGGAAAAAAAGTCTTTTGGTATCTGTTTTTCTTAGGGATGGACCAGACCAAACTTCTCCTCAAATTGGACAATTTAGTGGCAATACTGCATTAGAATCAGTCTATAGCACTTCCAATCAGATTCTGATCAAGTTCCACAGTGACTTTACTACCAGTGGCTTCTTTGTACTTAGTTACCACGGTAAGTGTGACAACGTGCACTTTTTCACTGTCTGTACTGATTACTGCAGGAAGAAAATTAATGAAAAAATTAATTTAAATTACTTTTTCTAAGAAGTTTATTATTATTAATATAATGCTATTATTAATATAACTGACCACCACTAGGTAATGAAAACATATGAAAGACTAATATGAATAATGAAAACAAGCTATTTTTTTGACCAGATATTAAATTTACTAGTAGTCAAGCAAAAAAAGAATGCACTGTGAAGAGACATCAGCAAAGAAGGTAGCATCAAGACCCTGCAGTTCAAGGTGCTCATCTTCTCACTGCTTACAATGCTTGTAAAATTCCTTTGTAATCTAAATGTTTGTGGGGGTCATTAAATGTCTTGTAGATATCTGAATATTGTGAAGAAAGTACTCTTGTTCTAGAGAGTTCAATGATAGTGAACTATAGTGTGTAGTTATCGTTAAACTACCTTTGAATTAAATACTGACTGAATGAAAATGCATAAGTATTAATGCACCAAGTTCGCCATCTTTTTGTGGTTATTCAAACCTTCTGTGGCCAAGTGTTCTCTTGCATTCCTATCATTCAGATAGAAACAGATTCAGAAGCAAGGGTATTTTTAGGTGCCCTGTGAATGCCTGTTGGATTGACTATTCAAGGAAACATGTACAGACTACAATCTGTTTTCTGGATCCTGATCAGATTTTAGGACTAGAAAGCTTTCTTTTTGACTTAGTAAAGACCAAGGTGACTACAGATAGACAGAACTGGGGGGATTAAAGGAACTTTAATCTAAACAAAACAAAGCAAAAGAAAAAAGACCTAAATCCCACAATTTAAAAAACAGCAGCAACAGCACTTGAATTGATTATGGAGTATAGACTCCAGTAGGATTGGGCAGAGGGGGGTCAGAATTTTCATTCCAAATCTGGGCATCTATATTGCATGTAGCAGTTTGTGAAGGACAAACTGACCCTTTGTGTTCATCAATATATGAATTGATATGTATGGATATATATGAATATACCAGTATATGACCAAACACATTTAAAAATGGTGATACCTAGTAATAAATTGTCTCTAAAGAACTTGATCTCCTTGTACTTGTTTCTTTTGTTATTGTGGAAATTGTCATTCCACAAGTGTGGGCTCTAATGTGTAATAAAGATGCAAACTGAGCAGCACAAAGGATTATTAATGAAGAAACTTTGGATTGATGTTGTCAAGATAAATAAATCTCTGTGTCCTTGAGTGTGTGATCATTCATGTCAGCTACATACAATTTATAGCAATAAAGGCAAGGCTGTGAGAGGAGTCAAATTTATTTAAAATAGATAATTTGGGGATTAAAATGAATGACACCCCTAAATGAGAGACATTTGAGATAAATTATATGAATTGTTTATTCAATCCATTTTTTATGTTGGTGATTTTTTAATATTATTTAAAAAAATGCAAGTAACACAGGTGTTCCATGTTTGCTTGATGTGTTTTATTTTAAATTACTTTATCCTAAGGCAGGTTGTTAGCTTTCTGACTCACTGATTTAGTTGGCTCTTCATTATATGATCCACAAAAAGGAACGGAATAGGAAGATGTCAAATATGTGTGACTTAGTAGCAACAAAGGTCTTACCTGGATAAAATACAAATTTTGTGATTGGCAAAAGTTTGACCAATTTGATTACTAAAGGATCCAAGCACAGGAAGTAAAAAAGATGTGTATAACTGAAGCTGAATCATCATCTGACATAAGTAGATGATGTTTCCTTGCTAATGAGAGATGCTATAAAACAATGCTATATGAAAATGTAATATCAGTGAAAACCAGGCATACTTGATTCATTATCAACCTGAGCGTACACCTTAAAACTTGGAAAACTACACTGTCAGTATAAATACTTCAGTGTGATTTCTTTGGCCAAATTTCTGTCCGAATTGCATTCAGATTGAAGGGAATTTTGTCTGTGTCCAAACAGGCCCATCCTCACAGGTTGTCTGTAAAAAAAAAAAAGCTATACAGCTTCTGCATACT